TTTTTAATTCTTTTGCAATGAAATTAGATCGTTTATATCGTTTCATAAATTTATTTTAAGTTAGAATTCTCTTTCGAATGTGAATAGACGCCTTCGGACAGGCGACGATATATCGTTGTTCGGCACTAAAAGGATTAAAAACCTAGTCCAAATTCCCAGAATCCTTGATGGCAAGATGTTTTATCGATATTTAGAAATGGGCGTCGATTGTAAGGAACATTCCAAGAGTTCACCAGCATCAAATAATTATGACGTGGTTCGATTAGTCTCCTGTTTTTTCTAAAAATTCATCTCGATTCATTTATTATACTCCTGGCTTCAATTAGTTTCGTAACCGAAGTATTACGTAGGATTTTGAACGAGATGTATGTATCAACGACGATATCTCGCAAATCCGACCTTTATACCTAGTGGCGAAAAGGAACAAATTCTTCCTGGATCGTTCACATCCCGCACCTACTAACCCCTCGGCAGGTGTCTTTTGCCTCTTCTCCAGCGATAACTGACAAATTGACACAATCAATGTACTCAATCAATGTTGAGACCTTAGCGAAGTTACTTCGTAACAGGGTAAACATTCCGGTAGTCCCTGTCCATTAATGGAGTTTTTCCCTAATAAACTTTTTTATTAGAAGTTCTATGTAAAAGTTGACTAAAAATTCTATAAATAAACAAATAATCTCCTTATTTAATTCTCTTCAATTCAAATTATTTATAATTTATTTGGAAATTCTATATAAAAATTGATACAAAATTCTAGTATTATACAAATAATTTTCTTATTTAATTCTCGTCCATTCAAATTATTTATTATTTATTTATAATGTAAAGTTATTTAAAAGTTGATAAAAAATTAGATTAATAAACAAATCATTTTGTTATTTAGTTCTCTTCTATTCTTCTTTTAGAAAATGTCCATTGTGCGATACATCAGTCCTCCCCTACTGCGGTGACAAATTATTACACGATGCCTGCTGCTGCTCGGACCCAAACTACGACGATGACTTACCATTCGTGTGTACATTGGCAGACTGCGGATTTCTACATGCCAACAGTTGCAGGGAGCACCGGTTGATCGCCAGATGCTGTTGTACCGATGATTATAAATCTTTATTGAAATCGTTTCCCAGTTAGAATAATTGAAGATTCGAATTTTAATTTGGATCATCTTTGAAAGGTGAAATAAAGAAGCACTTTCGAGTAACTATGGTTCTTTTTATTATTGATAAACAATGTGCAAAGGTACAATTGAATTTAACAGAGTTGTGTTCATGACTAGTGGATAATAGACATTTTCGGACAAACATTGTGCATTCTGGGAAATACTGCATTGTGAAAGAGGATGAAATTCTGAGTCAAAAGTTCCTGTTCCATTTTTCTCTATGATCATTTTTAAGAAAGTTATTATAGAAAAAGCGTGGTAGCCCCGTCCTTGACATTCGATTGATCCACGTTTCTTTGTTAATAATTTCCTTAATAAAAATTGTACAGAAAAATGGAAGAGGAACTTCTAATTTAAAATTTCTTCCTCTTTCAAAATACAGGAAACCCTAGAGTACACAATTTCGTACTGTTGATTACAAATCTCTATTGAAATCGTTTCCTAATGTGAATAATTAAGAATTCAAATTTAATGAAAGGTGAACAGATGGAGAGTATTTGTATTTCTAATTTTGCTAATTTTCTGGTTTTCTATCATTAATAATATGTGCGAACAGGGAGATAGGGGAATGGGAGGTGATAGTGATGATAGAGACCTGGCTGGAGGAGAAGAGATGGGGGAAAATAATGAACAGACTGCTGAAAGGATACAGGTGGAGTAAGCAATGGGCAAAGAGGAGGAACAAGAAAGGAAGGGCAATGGATGGGATGCTAATGGGGGTGAGATAGGAGATGGCGAGCGAGGAAAAGGTAGGAGAAAAAGACACAGAGGGGCTGATGGTGGGAGAAGTCCGAGCGGGAGAGGAGGAGTGGAGGGTAGTAGCGGTGTACGTGAACGGGGACATGGACAAGAAGCTGGAGGAGCTGAGGGGATGGATGAAAACACGGAGAGGGAAAGAGAATCGTAGGGGGCGATTTTAACGCGAGGACAGGGAAAGAAGGAGGGAAAGTGAGAGGGCCGGAGGAGGAAGGAGAGAGAAAATCGAAGGACAACAAGGTGAATAGCGAGGGAAAGAAAATGATCAAGATGATAGAGGAGGTAGGATGGGGGATTTTGAACGGAGATATAGAGGGGGACGAGGAGGGTGAATTCACTTATACAGGAGGGAAAGCGGAGACCGTAATTGACTACGTGATGGTGGATGAAGACACGAGGGAGGAGATAGGAAGGATGGAGGTGGGGGATAGGACAGAATCTGACCATCACCGGCTGATAGTGACGGTTAGAAGGGGTAAGGGGATGAGGAGAAACGAGGGGAGGAGAGAGAGGAAAGTAGGGAGTGGACGCTGGTCCCGAAAGATGAAGGAGGAATACGAGAAGGGGATGACGGAGAAGACAGTAAAGGGGGAAGGGATACAGGAGATGGTGAATGAGGCGGTAGAGAAGATAAAAGAGGAAATGCGGATGAGCGAGAGGGAAGGAGGGTGGGAGAGAAGGAAGAGGAGGGAGACATGGTGGGACGAGGAGTGCAGGGAGAAGAAAGCGGAGATGAGAAAGAAGTTAAGGAAATGGAGAAAAAGGGAGGGGGCAGGAGAAGAATACAGAATAGAAAGGAGAGGGTACAAGGAATTGTGCGAGAGGAAAAAAGAGGAGGAACGGGAAAGGCTGATTAAGGAGGTAGCGGAAGCAAGGACGGAAAACAAGGTGTGGGAGATCGTGAATAGGGGTAGGAAGGAAAGAAAGAGAATGAATGAAGAGATAGGAGAGGAAAAGTGGAGGGAGTACTTCATAGGACTTCTAGGGGGTGTAGAGAGGAGGGTGAGATTAGGGGGACGAGAAGGAAGAAGGGGGAGGAAGAGGAGTTAAGGTTGGAGGAGGTAAGAGAGGCGGTGAGGAGGTTAAAAGAGGGAAAGGCAATGGGAGCGGATGAGATTCCGAACGAAGCTTGGAAATTCGGAGGAGAAAGGACGGTGGAACTGGCATGGGAAATCTGTAGGAGAGGGGAGGGATGGCCGCAGACGTGGAAGGAAGGGATCATAGCACCGATCGTAAAGAAGGGAACAGGGGCAACAGTCGAGAACTATAGGGGGGTTACGTTGATGCCGACACTGTACAAAGTGTACGCGACGGTGTTAGCCAAGAGACTAGAGAAGGAAGTGGAGGAGAAAAGAGTGGTTCCGGAAAATCAGACGGGATTTAGGAGGGGAATGGGAACGATCGATAATATATATGCCTTGAACTACATAGTTAACGACAGGATTAAAAGGGAAAAAGGAAAAATGGTGGCGATATTTGTAGATCTAAAGGCTGCATTCGATTCAGTGGATAGGGCGGTATTAGGGGAAGCCTTGGAGAAGAGAGGAATAAGAGAGGGGTTGAGGGAGAGTGTGATGGAGATATATGAGGAGACGATGAGCAGGGTTAGGACCAAAAATGGACTAGGGGAGGCCTTTTGGCAAACGAGAGGGGTAAGGCAAGGATGCCCTTTGAGTCCTTTGCTATTTAACATACTTATAGTGGACCTGGAGGAGGAGATGAGGAAAGGAAGATGGGGAGGAGTGCATATTGAGGAGAGGAGGGTATGTACATTGGCATACGCGGATGACGTGGTGGTAATGGCAGAAAACGAGGAGGAGATGGAAAGCATGGTTAGAAGGCTGGAAAGATACTTTGAAAGAAAGAAATTGGAGGTGAACGTGAGAAAGACAAAGGTTATGAGGTTCAGGAAGGGGGGTGGGAGATCGAAAGAAGTAACGTGGAAGTGGAAGGGAAAGAGGATAGAGGAGGTGAAAGAGTTCAAGTACTTGGGGTATCTGTTCAGGGCCAATGGGGGGCAGGAAGGGCACATTAAGGAGAGGGTAAAAAAGGCAGGAGTGTTGATGAGAAGTGCATGAGGGATTGGGAGAAGGAAATTTGGAAGAAAATGGAGCAGGTGGATGTGGCTGTTCGACACACTAGTGTGGACGGTAATGGGATATTGGGCGGAAATATGGGGGTGGAAGGAAAAGAAAGAGATAGAGGGGGTACACGAGAGGTTTATAAGATGGTCTCTGGGGGTTGAGTGGAGGACTCCGGGGTATATGGTGAGGGAGGAGACAAAGAGAGAGGAAATGAGTACAAGGGCTTGGAAAAGAGAGAGGAGGTGAAAGAGTTCAAGTATTTGGGGTATCTGTTCAGGGCCAATGGGGGGCTGGAAGGGCACGTTAAGGAGAGGGTAAAAAAGGCAGGAGTGATGATGACAAGTGCATGGGGGATTGGGAGAAGGAAATTTGGAAGTAAATGGAGCAGGTGGATGTGGCTGTTCTACACACTAGTGTGTACGGTAATGGGATATGGAGCGGAAATATGGGGGTGGTAGGAAAGGAAAGAGATAGAGGGGATACACGAGAGGTTTATAAGATGGTCTCTGGGGGTTGAGTGGAGGACGCCGGGATATATGGTGAGGGAAGAGACAAAGAGAGAGAAAATGAGTACAAGGGCTTAGAAAAGAGCGTGGAGGTTTGAGGAGAAATTGCGGAGAGGGGAGGGAGGGGAAGTGGCGAGATGGTGTTGGGAAGAGGTGAAAGAGAGAGAGAGCAGAGAGGGGGAAGAAGCGTCGAAATGGAAAAAGGAAAGGAAAGAGAGAAGGAACCTCGTGGGAGAAAGGGGAAGAGTGGAGGAAATGGAAAGCGAAGAGGAATACAAAAGGATGGAAAGGGAGGACAGGGAAGAGCAAAGGAGGGAAAGGGCGAGAAGAATAAGCGAAGCGAGGTACAACAGGTGGTATAAAGAAGTGAGGACAGAAGGGGTACCAAGGTATTTGATGGCAGGTTGGAAAGAAAAGAGATGGAGAAGAGTTGCGAGGTACAGATTAGGGAATGAATTGAACGAGAGAAAGTACTGGGAAACGGAAGGAGGTAGATTGTGTAGGGTTTGCGGCGAGGAGGAGGAATCGTGGGGACACGTACTGGAAAGATGTGAGGGAGGAGAGAGATTGGAAGGGAATATTGGGGAGAGGATAAGGATGATTTTGGGGGAAGGGGGAGAGGGCGAGAGGGGGATGAAGG